GAGAGGCAAACATACATTGATATTTCTCTCCCTCTCTCCTTCCCTTCCCTTCTAAAGATAAATAAATAAAATCTTTTAAAAAAGCATTAAGAATTTTAATTTTAAGGCATTCTTTCTCTCTTTTATTTCCACCCACTTAAACTTCTAAGACACGAATAGGTCTACTGTTTTGCTGGCTTCTTTCTATTATCCAATAATCACCTCAAAGTTTGAAGTGAGAATCTGCATGAAGAAAACGAATCTGTCTGGTTGGCTTTAACAATAGACTGAGAGATTTTGGGTAGGCTTCATAAGGCAATGCTTCGTATGTCTAAAATTTTTTGAAGTGTCTTCTTCCTTCCCTTACAACTTTTGGTGGCTTATACTTCCTGAGAAATCAAGAGGCCCATTTTCCACTAAATGTAAATTTTGGAAGCTTTTCTCCTGAAGGTATAAATGGGTGAGAATCTAGTCCCAGGGAAGATTCAGCTAACTCACCTTGAAATTAGGAATTGACTCTGTGAAGTACACGAGCAATTCTTCTCCCTAGAACCTTTGCCAGACTTGACAGGCTGGTCCATTCAAAACACATAATTGAATATTCCTAACAACTCATTCTTCTACCTCACTTTGATCAATAGTTCATTACCTAAGTTAGAGCTGCCAAAAGAGACAAACTCTTCAGCCCATTTGTCCTGTATTTTATGCATTAAATGTTATGCTCCCTTTGAACTTCAAAAGAGCTCCCTAGCCTCTTTGACTAGAACTTTAACAACAGAGCATAATGGAGTTACAGAAAAGTTTTTTTCCCAGTTAAAGACTTCAAACCTTGCTGATTCTGGACAGTAACAAACTTTTACATAAGCCACTAATGCCACTTCATCCACTGCAATGCACCATCAGTATTTCCTGGGTTCTCAGAGCCTGTCTTCCCTCCTGAAATAGCAGCTGTTAACTGTGGCTAATTAGCTACTAGGAAGTGGCAGCACCCGTCTCAACATTTCCCTGTGAAACAGCTCTCCACAAATATAGCCTTTTTTCTAGACCTCTTCAGATTTTTATCAACTGAACAAGTATCTTTGACCATAATGGTGCCCCCTTCATTCCACCCTGATACTGAAAAAAGGATAGCAAACAGGCTGCAGTGCACCTTTTTTGATCTAGAAGCCAATATTAGAACCATCCTGTGAAAGATTAAAAAAACCTTGGCTTCCTTGGGTGAAATGGTGTCTGGCAACAAGGATAGATGTAAAAGTTTTTTACCCTGACAGTTACATGTTTCCTGAAGTTTTTCTTAGTTAAAAAAAATACTCTCTCTCCTTCTTCCACTCTCATACCTATCTTTACCTATTAAAGAATATAGCAAAATATATGGAAAATGAGATATTCTTTTATTTTAAAGAGCTTTTCTCCTGTTGTAAAAGTAATTCTTGCTAATTGTGAAAACTTTGAAATACATAGAAGTACAATAATGAACAAAAATAACATTCATGAACCTACCGCCCAGAGATAAAAAGAAAATTGTTTCCCTATTACATACCATACATGAATATGAATTTCAGATGGAATAGAGAATTATTGGTAAAACCCCAAATTATGGAAACAATAGAAGAATATACAAGAATGTGAAATTCTTCTACTTTGTAGACCTCCATAGGAATAAGAAGAAATTCAGAAGCCATAAAGGAAAGTAATGACAGCTCTGCCTACACACATAAAAACATTCTTTATGAAAAAATTCAACTTAAAGTTTAAAGTCAATGGCAGACAGCGAAAATGTTATTTGAAATGCAAAAAGTTAATAACAAAATTTGAAATAACAAAACATTAAAAAATAACATTGTGTCAATAAGACAAGCAACCCAACTTAAATAAGCAATTCAGTGAAGAAATACAATTGGATTAAAAATAAATGAAAAGATATTCCATCCCTGGCCAAGTAGCTCAGTTAGTTAGTGTGTTATCCTGATACAACAAGGTTGTGGGTTTGATCCCTGTTTAGGGCACATAGAATAATCAATGAATGAATGCATAAATAAGTGGAACAATAAATCAACTTCTCTCTCTCAAAAATTATTAATAAAAAATGCTCCAGTAATAGGAAAATATCACAGCAAAACTGAAATGTGGTCTCTCCTATTAAGCTTGTCCAAAAATAAAAGATTAATAATACTTTTAGCAAAGGAATTAAAAATGGACACTTATACAAAAATGGTGGGTTTATAAATTGATACAACTGTTTTGGAGAACAATTCGACAGTCTTTACAAGATTAAAGTTGAACATACACTTTGACCTAACAAGTCCTCAAAAATACTTGCCTAAGCACCTAAAGGTATTCATTAATACCTTATTTGTAATAGAAAAAACCTAAATATCTATAAATAGGGACTGATTAAATCATGGCACACTTATACAACTGGCAACTATGAAGGCATTAGAAAGAATATGGTACTGTTGTATTGCAATGTTCTGACATGGAAAGACATCCTAGACCTACTGCTGAATAAAAGTACAGAAAAACATGTGTTCCATTTTCATAAAAGGAAAAAGCCCTATAGACATCTAAGTATATTGTTATAACATAGAGAAAAGATTTTGGAAGAATACATAGCAAACTGTTAGTAATGGTTACCCCTGGGGAGTGGGATAGGAGTTGTGGTATACACATTCTTTTTTTTCAAGATTTTATTTATTTATCTTTAGAGGGGAAGGGAAGGAGAGAGGGAGAGAAATATCAATGTATGGTTTCTTCTGATGTGTCCCTGCTGGGAACTGGCCTGAAACCCAGGCATGTACCCTTACTGGGAATCGAACTGCGATTGTTTGGTTCTCAGGCCTGCGCTCAATCCACTGAGCTACACCAACCAGGGCAGTATACACATTCTTTATGAAGCTCAGATACTTTCATATAGTTTTATAAAATAAGTGTTATTAATTTTATAAAATAAAAAATTCTAAAAGTTAACATAAGTATTTTCCAGGACTGTCAAATTTTCAATAAGCAGGTTTTTAATGGTTGCATGGTAGGACATTACATGGATCATTTATTTAACCATTCCCCAGTGGATTGATATTTCCACTGCTTCTAATTTCTCACTGTTAGAGCTGCATTATAGAACCCTGTGCATGCAGTGATTGTGTGTGTGAGTGCATATGTAGGCAACATATATAGGGCATATGCTTTGAGATTTCCACTTTAGTAGAGGTAAGTTTGCACATGTCTTTGAGAAAGTTAGCCTTAGTGTGACTACACAGAATGATGCTGAATGGCTCATTCAGGGAATGACCATGACCTTGGCCTCATCCTCAGATTATAAGCCTGAAACACCAGACCAAAACTGGCACCCTAGGCCATGTGTTACATAATCATTCTGACATCAACTGAATATCAAAATGGCTTAGGACAAATTCATAGGCAGTAGGAAATGTTAAAAAGTGATAGATTTTGGTTTGCAAATAGTTTTTAAGTTATATTTTTGGTATATCAACTAAGATCTATGTTGCATGGACAATATTCCTTAATTCTTCATAAACATGGAAAGCTTCTCAGAAGAGATTATCTTCTAAGCATTGCACACCATATATCAATGATGCCATCAGTAACAGAGCATAAGGAAAGTTTCTTCCTAATAAAGAAAGGATTTTAAACCCAGCTGATGGTGGGCTGACCTGGGCTGAGAATGGATGGACAACTTTTCTATCAGGTTCATTAAAATCAATGAGAACTTCTAGAAAAGAAGAGATCCAATGGACTGCATTCAAGTGGAAGAAGAATATTGTTTAAGGGATACAAGGGGAGAGGCTGATCCAAGCTTCCCTAATAAAAGCATGCCCTGCTAAACTTCTTCCTATGGCCCAAACCTACTATAAATTACCATATATCACTCATATTTAAGAGCCCGATAAAAATTACTTTCTCCCAGGAAGAAAATTAAGTTTACTATGAAAATCATAGTATAGAAACACACAAAACAATGGAATAGTTTGGACACTTTTCCCCCTGCCAACAAACTTCATGCCTAATATTTGTAACTTATGCTGATAAAAGGATCAATGTTTACATGATGGGCTTCAGATGCTGCTTCAGCTTCTGACAGGAATATTTTCACAGTTCCATCTCATGAATAAGTTCAGTGGAGCAGAGAATGCCCTTTCTTGGACCAGTTCCACTTTGTGCTTCTTTTGATAGAGCCAAAAAAGGGAAACTAGAGCTATGAATTCTCTTTCAAATTTGGAGCAATTGTCCACCTAAGATGTGGGGCTGTATGTGGACCAAAGAAGGTGAAGTTCATACTGTGCGAAGGCAGCAGAAAGCTCTTAACAAGAGCAGAGATGTCAACAGTTACTCATAAATCTCCCAAATGTGGTGACAAAGAGGGTTATTTAGCCCCCCTTCCTACCATTCTGCTTTCTCTAACATGTTAACCCATCACACGGATCACTGACTTTCTAGAAATATTCCCTGGCTTTTTGGGGAATTATTCCTTTCAATAAATGGCATTCGATTTTCTCATAGTCCCAGGATTTCCTCAAAGGCTTCTTCACCTGAATCCATTTTATGTGAAAGGTTTTTCCTTCTTCATTTTTGACATAAGGGAACATGCACAGCCCAATTTACTTTTTCTTTTTTCTGCTATACCTTTTCATTAACTGAAAACCTTTGTTGAAGAGTTTGAAATCTGGGGGGAAATCCAGCTCATCAGATATTTTTACAGTTATATAAAATGGAATGAAATTTGTACAGTTTAAAACAGGGAAAGAAAAATAGCCTAATATGTCATGTGTTCTATGAGATGATAACTATATGATAATCAGAAAAAACAGCCCCAAACTTAGTTGGCTTGATTAAAAGTTCTTATTCTTTTATCAGTCCATGTATAAACCAGTAACATTCATTTTCTTCTTTTGGAATAATGACACGGCCACATTTGGGTCTGTATCAAAATCAATACAGATTATAAGCACACTTTCAGAGAAATTACAAGAGAGCATCCTGTTTTTTAAACACAAGACACTTACGATTTACTTGCTTTGCTTTGCTTTCTTCTAGGAAAATAAAGAATAGCAGCAAGGTAAAGATGTATTTTATTCCTCCCATTTTTCACTCTTCCTCTTTCTGGCCACTAAAAAAGACAACTCAAACTTTCAGGGTCTGGTGTAGTCAAGCTGTTGGGAAGAAAGCAGAAAGAAGACTTAAAACAGAGCCTCTGAAAGTGATGGAGATCACTGATGCTTCTAACTTGCTAGGAGAGAAAAACTTTGGAGAATTTAAATAAGTGCAAGAATTATTTTCCTGAGTAAGAAAGAGAACCTGCCTTTCCTGCCTTGCAAAGATTATGGGAAAAAAATTTAAGCTGATGAACATGCATTCCTATCCAATGTTAAGGCTGAATCCTAACAAGCAAGTCACACAGAAACAAAAATAAATTTTAAAATCCTGCTTTCTAAGGGAATTAAAGTTGATTTCTCAAGAGATTTTCTTTGGGAGAAGGGAAACTGGGGTTTGCAAAACAGCTACATTGGCAAACTAGATAAAAATAATAGCCATGAGACCCAAACAATTTCTGAAATGAAAGTTAACTAATCTTAGCTTCATGACCACTGTTTTATTAATCTCTCAGGGATCAGGCACATATTGGTCAGTGCTTCTCGTGTGTCTTCCATTTGATCTATAAGGCTCTTCAGTTTGAGTTACTTATGTTGGAAAACATAGATGTAATTAGCAAATGGATGCAATTAAATACCTGAATTGCTCAGGCATATTGTAAAATGGAAACTTAAAACAGGCCACTTTTCAGGGAATTTAGGCAAAATTAAATGGGTAATGTGTTCACATTACACCACCATGAAAAAGACCATTAAAGCAACTACAATTCTTAAAAATTTGAGACTTACATTTCCAGTCTAAGGGGTAGAAGTCTTAAATCTTTTGAGCCTTTAGATGCGGAAATTTTGCTACAGCTCATATCCAGCCATATGTCATTTCCATAGGCTTTAGAGTTTTCAAAACTTCCAATCAGCAATTTGATAATATTTAAATATTCAAGAAGTACCACATTTCAATTTTGGGCTAACTGTGAGTGGAAATTCAGCTCATTAATCTTTTCAGAGGATTCAACCTAAATATCTAGTATAAAGAGCTGGAAGGAATGCAAGATGATCATTCTGGAGAACTGAATCGTCTTTATGTGGTAGTATGATACCACAGCTCCTACTTTAAATGCTCTGAAGTCGCCTGGATAACTGAAAATCCATTGTTTCAAATTATGAATATGTAACCAAAGAATAACTAACTATGGAGAATAATTTGTGCCATCAGTCAGGATTTGCAGTACCATTCTGACTTTTCTACCTCCTGCCTGCTTCTTAAACAAGAACTAATTCTCCTAGGACATGTTCTTAGCCTGCCAAAGCTCTGGTTTCTGAGGTCTTGGTCCCCTCTGTGACTTTATGGTCAACCTTCAGTCACTCAGAATGTCTCTGTCTTCTGAGAGCTACCAGATTCCCCTGAAGCAAATCGTGTCCATGAACAATTGGGAGGTTCTTCCTGAGTCTACTTTAATAAGCTTATTTGCCAAGTCTCCAAAGGAAAAAAATTTAAACCACTGAAATCTAATTTATCAAAATCACATATGGATCTCAGGGAATATTTCTCAAACCACATTTTTCAGGCCTCTCCATACAAGAACCAAAAGGGTTGTTTTTTCTTGTACAATGGTTGGGCGATTTGGTGAACAGTAGCATTGCTTCATAATTCATGCTGGTGAGAAAATGGCTCTTCAAATTTTTTTGCTTTTTTTAGGTCCCAACTAATGTTATGAGCAAATAGAAAAGTTGATAATGATAGAGTAATTTATCTCTTTTGGTGTTCCTGTTCCAGGCTGTGATGGAGAACATCAGAAAACTAATTGTTTTATAAATTTTCACTTTTGAATTACAAGATCCTGAAATCCTGCCTTTGTATTCTGTGCAGAAACACAAACTGAGAAGAGTTCCCTCTCCAAGTCTCCTCACTGTTCAATTTCTCTTTATCTTTTACTTTTTCTTTTGGGGGAGTTGGGTGGTGTGAGACATTTATGGGGACTGTAGCAATAAATACAAGCAAGCATTGCTCAGCAAACATGCCGACTTTTACACTTGCAAAGAGCCAAACTGGCCTAAATTTTTTGAATTATACTTTGACCCAGTTAACTGGAGTTATTTCTGCATTAACTCTCTCTCTGCTACACAGGCTGTTGTGCCATTGAACTTGCATTTGTTCTTTTACAGGTTACTTAGAAATGTAGTCATCAAAATGCTGTGAGGGGAATCCAGGCCAAAACAAAAAAACAACAGAGAAAACAAAACCTTGCAACTAACACCAGGTAGGGGAAAGGAGAGGGGGCTTTACAAGAGAAAAAAAAACATGTCAGAATTAAAGAACTGTGTTCATTAATGTGTGTCCATGAAACAAACATTTGCACTGTTTATTTGTACCAAGTCAAGTGCCCAAGGTCTCCTTGCTCAGCTGTAATTTACAAGGCAATCTGAGCCATCAAGTCATCAGGAGCCTGTCCATTCTCAGAAGAGGTCTCCTGAGTTGAACAGAACCAAAGAGATACTCTCAAAGAAAGGCTAATGGCTGAGCATATGTCAGCCAGTTCTTCATGCCCCACAGTGTCTCTTTAATCCTCCCTGAGAGGTTTAATGGACCTTGTAATCTCATAGTCACTATCATTTGTGGGACAGCCTCCAGGGGAGCAATTCTTTTTCTGACAATAAAACGCTGCAGTCTCAGGCAGTGTTGTCTTATATCCTCTCCCCTCTCTACCTTCCAACAAGAAAAGCTCAGTTCACTTGGTGGTGGATTGCCACTGAAAAATGGCAGTTCCAGCCCTGGGGGTCTCTTAGAGTCAGCTCCTTCATTGCTACTTACTACTGATAAACTATGGCTTGTAACACACCTTGTTATAATTTCATTTTATGCCCCACAACAACCTGACACCCTGGAGCCCAAAGAACTCTCAATTGCCTATTCTCATAGAGTTAGTGGGCTTTCCAGGCCCTGAACTCTGGCAATACTGTGTTGCTTCCTGAGTCTAGCCTCTCAAAATTCTGACCCCAGCGGTTTCGGTTGAAAAATGAGTCAAGTCTCCAGAGTCTAGAGGAGCCTCTCCCCCCCGCCCCCCGTTCTTCCCTGTTTCATTAACTTTAGCACGTATTAATAACCCACTGGTCCAGGGCATTTCAGCAAGTGAGAAAAAAGGCTCAGGGCACACAGGATAACTAAGGGGATTGCAGAACCCATTAGGTAACTTACCAATTGGCATTCCAAAGCACCAGAGCAAGGAAATACGCAAACTGGGTAGGGAGTGGAGACTGCTCGGTTCTAATTTACAGTCCCTGACCTGCCTCGGTCCAGCGCTGAGGGCCCACCTCTACCCCAAGCATTGGCAGCTGAACCCTAAAGCGAGTTGGGGTGGCAGGTCAAGAGAGATTGAGGCACCATCAGGGAACTTTCAGGAGCGGCTAGTGCCAGCATAAGATACCCCACCTGTGCAAAGGCTGGAAAGGACTGTCCGGGAAGCAGGCTCCGGCACCGTTCACTGACCTTGTTCACTGGCCTTATTGGTCTTCCACGGGTGCACACGCACAGAGCTCTCCAGAGCGCTGCTCCTAGGTCTGTGGCTGGCAGGTTGTGGAGAGAGCCAGAGTGCTCGCGAGCTGGGCGGGGGAATCCAAAAGTGGGTGGGAGGAAAAACATCACCGCCCTCACACCACGAGGGAGCAGCTGTTCGCTGGACTCCAGAGAGCAGAGCCAAGGCTCGGGTACAGGAGGCCCGGGGCCACCTGCTTGCCAGCCCGCCGCCAGCTCCCCACTCCCCACTTGGCCCGGGAGGCCGGCAGCTAGACGCAAGCGGGAAGTCTGCAAAAGCAACCGCTGCCAGCCGGCACCCCTTCTCCAGTCTGCACCCCTTCAGTGCTAGGCACTACGGCTTTATTCCTGCTCCCCACACCCAAAAGTTAAGAAATCCAGAGAAAGTGAGAGGCTCAGCTGGCGATTTTGCCATCACGCAGCGCCCCCACTGCAGCTCCCCTCTCCTCTGGCTAAGCAAGCTTTGGGGTCTTAAAGGGACCGCACATCTACTCCGGACCCTCCTCCTCTGAGAGCTGCACTTAGGAGCTCACCACCTCTGTCTGGCGCCCGCCATGAGACTCCAGCTACTCTCTGACTGGAAGCCTGCACCCCTCTTCTCTGGCACAAAGGCCTCTCTGGTGCATGCACCTGGTCTGGTCCTTAGCTGGTGCACAGGACACAGGATGAGCTGGCCTTGCAAATTATGCCCTACCGAGCTGCTTATCATTTCAGGGTGTTTCCCAAATCCCCACTGCAGTTAATGAAGTAATAAGCATTGGTGTAATTAAAGGCAGGGTGGATATGAAGGTGTGTGTGGAGAGAAAGGGGAGGACTTAGAAATCTATTTTCTCCTACAAAGAGGGCTCCTAAGCCCCATGGAAAGGACCTCTGTGATCATTAAGGGTCTTGACGCAATCTTGAGGAGGCCCACCATAGCCTCCATCTACTGTTTTAGTAGTCCCCACAATTCAGAGTTGGGTCAAGAACACAACCCTGAGATTACAAAAGCACTGCTGATGACTTGGTGAGTTTGAGACAGACTATTCCAAATATGCGTTTATTCAGTCAGCAATATTTACAAAGAATTATCACAAACTTCTAAGGCCCAAAAGTGCTGCCTTAACAGACAATACCCATTTATACATTAAGCCCCTAAACTTGGAGGAGAACTGCTGGGCTTTTTTTCCTTCACAAGATGGAACTGGATAAAATTGATATCCCTAACATTGCTATACTACTTTTTAAATTTTTTTAAATACTTTTATTTAGTTATTTTTCAAGTACAGTTTTCTGTCTATTTTTCCCATCCAAGCCCCCCCGCCCTGTACTTCCCCACCTCCCTCCCATTTCCACCCCCCTTAGTTATTGTCCCTGTGTCCTTTATACTTGTTCCTCCAAATCCCTCCCCCTTTTTTTCCCCTTAAAGTCCCTCCACTCTCCCCTTTGGTCCCTGTCCCCTTGTTCTCTATTTCAGTGTCTTTGTTTTTATTTTGCTTGCTTGTTTGTTTTGTTGTATAGCTTCCTGTTAAAGATGAGATCATATGGTATTTGTCTTTCAACACCTGGCTTATTCCACTCAGCATAATGGTTTCCAGTTCCATCCACGTTGTTGCAAAGGGTAGTAGCTCCTTCTTTATCTCTGCTGCATAGAATTCCATTGTGTATATGTACCATAATTTTTTTATCCAAAAAATTCAAAAGGATGGAAAACTCCCAAATTCTTTTTATGAAGCCAGTATCATCCTAATTCCAAAACCAGATGGAGACACAACAAAGAAAGAGAACATCAGGCAAATATCGCTGATGAACATAGATGCTAAAATCCTCAACAAAATACTAGCAAATAGCATCCAAAAATGTATCAAAAAGATCATACAACATGACCAAGTTCAATTCATCCCAGGGATGCAAGGATGGTTCAATATTCACAAATCAGTAAATGTAATACATCATATAAACAAAAGCAAAGACAAAAACCACATGATCATATCAATAGACACGGAAAAAGCTTTTGATAAGGTACAATACCCATTTATGATAAAAAACACTCAGCAAAGTGGGAATAGAGAGAGCATTCCTCAATATAATAAAGGCCATATATGACAGACCTACAGCCAACATCATACTCAATGGGCAAAAACTAAAAGCTTTTTCACTAAGATAAGGAACAAGACAAGGTTGTCCACTTTCACCACTTCTATTCAATATAGTTTTGGAAGTTTTAGCCACAGTGATCAGGCAAGAAAAGGAAATAAAAGGCATCCAAATAGGAAAGGAGGAAATAAAACTGTCACTGTTTGCAGATGACATGATAGTGTACATGGAAAATCCTATAGACTCTACCCAAAAACTGCTCAAACTAATTAATTAATTTGGCAAAACAGTGGGTTACAAAGTCAATATCTAGAAATCAAAGACATTTTTGTATACCAACAATGAATCAGCAGAAACAGAAATCAAAAAAAAATCCCATTTGATATAGCAAAAAGAAAAATAAAATATCTGGGAATAAACCTAACTAAGGAGGTAAAAGACCTGTATGCAGAAAACTACACAGCACTGAAGAAAGAAATCAAGGAAGACACAAACAAATGGAAACATATACCTTGTTCATGGATTGGAAGAATTAACATCATCAAAATGTCCATACTACCCAAAGAAATATACACATTCAATGCAATACCTATTAAAGTACCAGTGGCATATTTCACAGACATATAACATACACTTAAAAATTTTATATGGAACCATAAATGACCTCAAATAGCAGCTGTAATGTTAAGAAAGAAGAACAAAGTAGGAGGGATCACGATACCTGATATCAAACTGCATTACAAGGCCACTGTAATCAAAACAGCCTGGCACTGGCATAAAAACAGGCACATAGACCAATGGAACAGAACAGAGAGCCCAGCAATCAACCCAACTCTCTACAGTCAATTAATATTCGACAAAGGGGGCAGTAACATAAAATGGAGTAAAGATAGCCTCTTCAACAAATGGTGTTGGGAGAACTGGATAGCTACGTGCAAAAATATGAAACTTGAGCACTGACTTACACCATACACCAAAATAAATTCAAGGTGGATAAAAGACTTAAATATAAGCTGTGACACCATTAAAGTCCTAGAGGAGAACATTGGCAGGAAAATCTCAGATATTTCACGCAGCAACATTTTTACTGATATGTCCCCTAGAGCAAGGAATATAAAGGAAAGAATAAACAAATGGGATCTCATCAAAATAAAAAGCTTCTGCGTGGCTAAGGAAAACAGTATTAAATTAAAAGACAACCAACTGTATGGGAAAACATATTTGCCAGTGATACCTCAGACAAAGGTTTAATCTCCAAAATATACAAAGAACTTACATGACTCCACTCTAAGAAGACACCCAACCCAATTAAAAAAATGGAAAAAGGACTTGAACAGACACTTCTCCAAGGAGGACATATAGAATATCCAGAGACATATAAAGAGATGCTCAATATCGCTAGCCATCAGAGAGATGCAAATTAAAACCACAATGAGATACCACTTTACACCAGTCAGAATGGCTATCATAAACAAAGCAACAAACAACAAATGTTGGAGAGGTTGTGGGGAAAAGGGGACCTTAGTTCACTGTTGGTGGGATTGCAGACTGGTACAACCATTATGGGAAACAGTATGGAATTTTCTCAGAAAAATAAAAATCAACCTGCCTTTTGACCCAGCAATTCCACTGCTAGGATTATATCCTGAGAACCCTAAAACATCAGTTTCAAAGAACCTATGCACCACAATGTTTATAGCAGCACAATTTACAATAGCTAAGAGTTGGAAGCAACCTAGGTGCCCATCAGCTATACTACTTTACGATTTAAAGAATACTGTCATATAGATCGACATTACATTTTTTTTTGCATTTTTATTGTTGTTTAGGTACAGTTGTCTTCATCTTCACCCCACCATAGCCTCGACATTACTTTTTAAACTCTCACCACAAAGTATGAACTATCTTTCGCCTCAAATGTTATAGTTGATGGATACCTTCTGGACCATTCAGCTTAACCCTCTCATGGCACAGAAAAAACTGATGAGAGGGCAGGGAAGGTGATGTATCCAAGGTAAATAAATGATAGATTTGATATTCATATTTCCTAACTTTCAACCCACTACTCTCTGGTTTTTTTGTCCAAACTGTAAATGAGGAATTTGATGCTTAGTGAAATTGTGGCTTGCCAAAAATACACATAATCAGGAAAACAGAACAAAGGAAAATTAAAACAAGAATAATTGCCCTGGCTGATGTGGCTCAGTGGATTGGGTGCTGGCCTGCAAACCAAAGGGCCACCAGTTTGATTCCCCATCAGGGCACATGCCTGGGTTGCAGGCCAGGTCCCCAACAAGGGGCACATAGTGGCCACCACACACTGATGTTTCTCTCCCTCTCTTTCTCCCTCATTTCTTCTCTCTCTAAAATAAATAAATAAATAAATAAATAAATAAATAAATAAATAAATAAATACTTTAAAAAAAGAAAATAAATAAAATAAAATAACCTTTAAAAAAAGAATAATTAACCCTGGAAGTTATCTCTTTGTCTCTTTCTACAAAATAGTTAATATCATCCATCTAGCCCCTGCATTGCTAGAGATGTTTATTCATTATTAACAAAGAAAGAAGGGCCCTTTCTGAAATGTTGCCTTCAGGCCTGAAAATGTCTAGCTTCATTTTGCTGCTTGGGTAGCCATACATTGCCATATGCATTCAATGTGCTGTAGTATATTAGTTTGAACTTGCTGATTTGTTGCCTTATAATTGTTCTTATGCCACTTAGGGCACTTATGTTTTGTCTCACTATGCTGTGAGATCATTAAGGGCAAGGACTGGTTGTTCAATTTCCTTTTCGTGTGCATCCTCCAACCCTTGTCATTACTCCTGACATGCTTAAAGAATATTCAGGAAAATGGGTTTCAGGGACTAGCCTGATATAAAGATGGATCCTAGGACTTAAAATCAGTAGAATTAGTGAGATTCCAAAACTCATTTATTTAGCTACAACCACTCACTCCCCTTG